CTGCAAGTCCCTTAACACTTCATATGCGTTTGCCAGTCACTCTATATTTGTGTCACCTCCAAATGAAACTGGCTCACTGAGTATTTCAGAGAATCTAAATCAATGATATACTGTAGATCAGGGTGTGCAATGGGCATAAACTGGAACCCAGTGGTATAGTACAGTTTATATCTGCTCAATTCTCTAAAGATAATGCAGTTTCCTGTTTAGAGACCCGTTCTCATTCCACATGTAATAATTTCCTTGGAATCCTGCATCTTTTCCTTTGAAAATCCAAATTCTAAGAGGGAATTATCCATATCCATATGGAAATCTTATTATATCTCATTATTTTCTAAAGTGCCATCACTTTTCCTCATTCTTAGTACAAAATATATCCCTTAAAAAAGTTAACCACCCTTTCTAAATCCTTGTTTGCTATCTCTTAAAGCCCCATGCAATATTCTTCTCTTATGCTTGTATTCGTTTATACAATTTATTTTTAACACAAAAAAAACTTTTGCAGAGCATCCACAGTAACCTTGGTTACATGATTTAAGTACCCTCCCAGCTTAGAAAGACTCTTTTGGTAAGACAGAATTTAATAATGGCTTGCTAAAAATATTTTCTTCAGGCCATGCTAATATTGAAAGCTTTTCTGGAATCTGTCCAAGAATTAAGAATCAGAAGAGTGGTAGGAGTGAAAAAATGATACTTTTTAACCCAGCAAGAAGTCACTTTTTTAAACGTGTCTTTGCTAACATTGGAGAAGATGTTCATCCTGTGCAGCCCAGACTTGCCTGATTTCTTCAACGTTGGCAAGGGCAGTTTTCATCCCAGCCAAAATAATTTGACTGTAAAAATACTTAGGTTAGCAGTTTCCTTTTTTTCTTTAACATATAGAAGATTAGCTTCAAAAGTAGCTGTTTTTCAAAAGCAGCTTTTAGTGTTGCAACGTTTTTTCAGGCACAACTTCAGTACTTATTAGAGTAGTTTGCAGCGTCAGCTAACCACATTTTTTAAAAAGTTCCTTCTACAACACTGAATATCACCATCAGCTTCTGCCCTAATCACAATGTAAAGCATATTTATGCTGGTTGATCTCTTGGTTTTAACTCTCCTGGGAAACATAATTTAAAGCATATCAAGGGGGTTAATGTCAAGGACAGTGAGAGACCAGAGAACCGTTTTTTAAACCTTATGATATTCTTTCTGATTTAATTATTACAGGGTTAGTCTGCCTATTTGTTTTCAGAGAAACACATAGAGGTTTATTCCTGCTGAAAAGAGACGAAAAGAAACACAACGTTTCGGCTGTGGAGGCTTCTTCGTGAAGGCTCCCCACGAAAGCTCCTGAAGAAGCCTCCAGGTTGGCTATAAGTGAGGTTTAAGTCAGGCTTAGGTTGGATAAACGTGAAAGAGACAGTATGAGCTACCAGTTCCTTAAATGAAAGATGTAAAATATGAAGATTATGTATGCAGAACTTCTTTTACAAGGAAATATATTGCACAAAGGATACATTAAACAAATCACATTTACATAATGCAGTGCAGACCAAAACCAATAGACAAAGAAAAAGAAAGAAGAAGAAGGAAGAAAGAGGTAATAATTGCTATACTGAACAGTAGCTATACTGGCTTATTTTCAAAAGTCATTTTTGACTGAAAGGGTAAATCATACAAACAGTTTGAAAGCTGAAATAAATATTTTGTATTACAAGATTTATAATTTGGTAATTGTGGAATTTGCTTCAGTGTTTTAAATTTAAAAAATAAAGTACCAATAACCCTGCTTTTGCAAATACAAAATGGGATATATATATTTTTTAATCCTTAAGGATCCAACACTGCAGTTCAGAACCCTCTGGGCGATGTGCAGCAGAAATTACTCTCCACATTAACAGATCAGGTAAAATACTGAGAAATTGCTAAATCAATTGGGGTTCAAACTTTAAGCTGGTAATGTTGGTGACCCAGGTCTGCCTAACAAACTGCCTTTCTATTAGAACATAAGAAGATGGCATTTGCATTTAATTGAAAAGTATACACTCTTTGACCCTGTTTAACACCAATAAATGTAATTATCAGAACATCTGAATCTTTTGTCAGAATAAGAATAATGGATTGATTTGCTACTCCCAGAGCATAAAAGGTTTACAGTACTTATGCTGTGTCTTCTCTATGTCTCTCTATCTATACGTCTTATACTGTAGCGTTAAGGGTGTAGTTTTCAATTCAATTCAAAATACTTTACTCATCC